CTCCCCTGCCTGTGGCAGGGGGTCAGGCGAGATGATCTGTTCAGGTCCCTCCTGACCCGAGCTACTATGAAACTCTGAACTATAAGCTACCACCGGGGTCCCAACCAAAAATGGGGTCCTTCGTAAATCCGAGCTTTAACGCAAAGCCTAAACCTAGACCTACATCAAGCTCATTTACCTCATCAAGCCATTGATGGTGTTTTTTATTCTCTCTTCAGATGGAAAACATTGAAGAATTGAAGGTGGAGAACCAGACCACAGTGACCAGCTTCATCCTGCTGGGATTTTCCCACCTTGCCAAACTTCAGCTTTTACTCTTTGTGGTGACTCTCCTCATGTTCTTGGTCACTATGATGGGGAACTGTCTCATCATTGCAATCACAATAATTTACCCTGTCCTGCACACCCCTATGTACTATTTCCTCAAAAACCTGGCTTTGATTGAAATCTGTTACAGCCTGTGCATTGTCCCCAGGATGCTGGTGAATTTGCTGGTGGGAAGAAAAGCCATTTCTTTCTCTGCCTGTGCCCTGCAGCTGAATGGTGTCATACTTTTTGTCACCTCTGAATGCTTCCTCTTAGGTGCCATGGCCTATGACCGGCATGTAGCCATTTGCCACCCATTGCACTATGCCACCATCATGAGCAAGAGGTTGTGTATTCAAATTGTGACCGGATGTTGGCTTTCTGGTGTCTCAGTGGCAGTGGGATTCACTTCTTGGTTGTTCAGTTTTCCTTTCTGTGGGTCAAAAGAAATTAACCATTTCTTCTGTGATGTTGCCCCAGTGCTGAAGCTGGTATGCGCAGATACCTCCTTATTTGAGCTGGTGATTTTCATAGACATTGTAATAATTGTGATGGTTCCTTTTTTCTTCATCTCTGTTTCTTATATCCATATCATCTATGCTATTCTCCAGATACCATCACCTGAGGGCCGACATAAAGCCTTTTCCACCTGTGCAGCCCACTTGGTGGTGGTGACTCTGTTCTATAGCACTGCTGGCATCATTCACCTTCGCCCCAAATCCAACCTCTCATCCCACAGTAAGAAGTTGGTGTCTCTCTCTTACACGGTGGTCATGCCCATGCTGAACCCCATTATCTACAGCCTGAGGAACAAGGAGGTCAAGGAAAGCCTGAGGAGATTGTTTGGCTTAGAGATGTTTATGGAAAGGCCATCAATTTTGCCTTTAGCCAGGTGATGGGTTCCTTGAGTTTGGGATGTAATGTCTTATACAGCCTCCTACATTTCAGTGAAAGAGCAAGTTCACTGATTGACACAGCTGATTTGAAGACTCAAGAATCCTAATTTAAGAAAGGCATTAATGCCATGTCAGTTATTCAGGCAAGTAAACCAAAATCCAATGTTTTGAAGGTGAAGCTGGATACCTACAGACTGCAAATGAGGCACAGATTCATAACAGTGAAGCCAATAATAAAGCAAAAGAACATTTTGCCTATGGCCCCTTGCTAACCCGCTACGCGGTATCTCTGCATTGAGCTGGGAAGTCTTTCCGAAGTTTAGCCACAATTTGTTGCCTTAGATGCGGATTTCAGTGGATGAAATTTGGGTGACTATGCTGTGCAGAAGGTCAAACTAGACGGTCATAATTATGCTTCTGACCTATTATAACAATTTATTAATTTACCTAACTCAAATGCAGACCCCTCCACCCCCCAGGCAATATAAACATCAAGGCTGACTTTTTAAAGGAATCCAAAGAAGCTTAATGTCCAAATCCTATTGCAGTTGATGTAGATACTATGGGTGGAAGCAGGATTTCAGAAAGGACGATGCAGAAGCAGCAACCTGTGTTCCTGGGTGGCTGACCCCAACTCCAAGCCTCCCCCACACATCAGGGTGGGCAGACCAAACCACTGGAGTAGCATCTGTGGACTGTTTTTAAGTCCCTCAAGTAGATAAGAGTCTTCTCTCCCCCCTCCCTTCCCTCCATGCTCATCTCCCCACTTCCATTCTACCCCTTCCCCACCTGTGGCTGCCACTATCCACAGATGAGCCAGGGAGGAGGGGCTACAGAGCTGCTCCTGCCCCACTGCAGCCGGGCCGCACGTGGAGCTAGGCTAAGCTACAAGCAGCAGTGGCAGCAGGTGGGTTTCCTACTTCCCACCTGCTCTTGGGCTGCCAGGGAACACCAGGGGGACAGAGCGAGGAGAAAGGGAAGGGAGGGAGGGATTCTTACTTGCTTTGGGGACTTTGAAAAAAAACTTTATTGCTATTACCAAGTAGCAATAAACTCCAGCACAGCTAATGCCAGAGTTTATTGCTTCCAGGTGCAGTGTCCTCATGCCTGCCTGAGACCACAGTACGTTGACCCAGGGAAGCACAGGCCAGCTGGCAGGCAGCTCAGGGGCTCAGCCTGAAAGCCCAGGACTGCTCCCCCTTGCTCAACGTGCTGCAGAGGGGATGGCTGGGGCATGGAGATGCTCCAGTGTGAAGCTAGCCAGCAGGTAAACCCCACAGTGTAACACTCTCATGCCCCAGCAAGCCCTATCACTGTCTATATGTGCATTGTGGTGGTGTACATTTCTCCACCACAGGATAGCACTTGTGTCTGGCAGTACTATCCTGCAGAGGAGTAAATTCATTTACTCTGGCCTAATAGTGCCTCATATGTAGATGATGACACTCTACTGTGGAGCTAATTAGTCTACTCTGCAGTAAGCGTCTCTTGTAGATGGACCCATAAAAAAAGTTAATTCCGATAACTATCCTAGTAACAGTTGATGCAGTGCTAGTAGCTCCAACTGGGCCCCAGAGCCCGGGCCAAAGTTGCCACCACTGCTGCTTCTACTGTCCTGGGCTGGGCTAGGACCAGAACAAGCATGTGCTCCGTGTGCTGGGTTGGAGCAGGGGAGATTCTGTGGGACGGGAGAAGGCAAGGGGGAGGTGAGGCACAGGCAGAGCTGGCAAGGTGCAGACCCTGGGGCAGGGGCAAGCAATTCTTTCAGGGGAAGAGCTGCATACTGAATTTTGGCAAGCTGTTGAGGGGTGCATGGGTAGCCCCACCCCCTGACAGGTGCCCCGCCCCCTGGTCATCATCTTGGGACTGGAAGTCCTAGCCCTAACCTCTGACCTTTGCCACTGGAAGTTCCTCCCCTTGCCCCTGGAAGTACTCCTTTGGTAAAAAGGGTTTGCCATCTTAGGGGGAAAAAACCAACAAATTACATACTAAAAATCAAACACCTATAATAATATATTTTAATTTAATTAAAAAAATATTTTTGCCCTGATTTGTGTGAGTTTGTGGTATATATGCAAAAGTGGTTATATAAGGGGGTTTGTGGGGATGTGTGGATGTGCGTGTGTGGGTATGGATGTGGTTTTGGGAGCAGGGTGGCCAGTGGGCAGGCAGGAAAGAGGGAAAAGTGGTCCCCACTCCCTGTGGCCAGCATTTCCTGCTGCAGCCACTTAAAGCCCCCTGTGCTGAGCACCAGCTCATTCCCTGCCACCACTGCTAGCCTGGGCCCCACGCCAGCTCCGGGCTCACTCGTCATGGCTGAGCTGTGGCAGAAGCAACTGGGCAGAAGCTGCTGCTCAGCATGGAGGAAAGCAGCTCCCCCACTCCCCCTGCTTACCACCACCAGGCAGTGTTTGCTGCTGCTGCCCGCCCAGAGCCCAAGCCATGCTAGGCTGAGATGTGGCTGCTTCACAGCTGCCTCTTCTGCCCAGGAACCAAGGGCAGATAAATATGAATTTTCTAAATTTTTTAGGGACCCCATGGACTGGATAGAATGGCCTGGCAGGCCAGATCTGGCCCACGGGCCGTATTTTGCCCACCCCTGCCCTGGGGAGATTGCAGGTGGTAAAGGCTCCCTGATGTCAGGCTTACAGTGCCCCTGCCCGAAGCACCTTTTAAGGGGGCACATGCAGCTGGAATGGGAAAAGCTCCCTCATAACCAGCTGCGTTCAGCTGTTTAAAGAGGTGCCAAGCACATACAGCTGGGTATAAAGGAGCTCCTCCATCCCCCACCGCTTATGCCAGGTGCTTCTTTAAACTGATGCAGGCAGTCAGTTGTGCACCCATTTTTAAAGAGGCGCCTAGGATCCTGGACCCAAGACCCGGTGCTGCCTCCAGGGACACAGCAGTGGGAGCTGGGTGGGTTTGGGATCTGGACTTATCTCCAACCCAATCCCATTGACTGGGCAGGGGGCAGTCCCAGAATTTAGGGCTGCCCGGTCCTGGATCCCAATGCAAAGCACTGAGGATTGGGATTCAACACTGGGCAGCCCTGGTCCCGGTTCAGACTCAGGTGTCTCCCCTGTTCAGTTCTGAAGATCGGCAGGGGAGGGCTGTATCTCGGACCCCAGAGTGGTCCCATGCCCTGAGACTCACCTGGAACCACCTCCTTAAAGAACAGGGGTTGCAGACAGTGTTGTAAGCTAGGGAGGGGCACTAGGGCAACCATCCTGGGTGCCAACTTCAGGGGCAGGAAGGAGCAGAAAAGAAGCAGCTGCTGCAGGCTGTTGTGTGTTCATGTTTGCAAATGTGGTGTCTACTAGAAGTCACTGCTTCCACTTTGCCCTGAGTGCCTGGCCATATCCCCACACTGCGGGTTATAGGGAATGACTCTTTAAGATGCTGGGTCCTGGCAAGCCTGCATCCCAATGTGGATGGTCTGATGGCCAATATGAGGACCAGGGTAGCCCCCAGCCAGGCTCCAGAGCAGGCAAAGCCACACATTCAATTTTTGGAGCCATATAAATCAGCCACAAAGATGTTACATACTCTTCATGGAATGTTTGTTGCTGGTTTGCCATTTTATGGGGCCATAAATACAATGAATATGTGACATGTTACTATTTCTGGCATGATTAACACATTATTTGCACCAGAGAAGTAGCCAAGGGTCAAAGTTGCCCAAAATAGCTATTTGTTCCTGAATAGATAAAAACGACAATATAAGAAGCGAGCCAATCATTCAGTTTTGAATTTCCTCAATTCAGATACTCCTTCTGTGGCCTGCGATAGTAACTTACACTTTCTGTTCCCAAACTCTCTTTCTGTATAATGGGAATAGCATCTATTCCCTGAATTTGGGACTGTGAGATGCTCAGATACTTTGATGTGGAGATCATATAAGGATCCATACTGAAATGACTGAAGAATTGGTTAACAAATCTAATTCCTTGAGTACTTTTGTGACAGTTCTTGCTTGAAAGTAAAATGTATGTTACTTGATTCTGAAGATTAGGAATCACAACAGTGCCTGACACGTTAGGATGCCTGATTCCTATGAAATCTAGTTTGTTCGGAAGATTCAGCTATCTTAATCTGGAGGTTTTGGTTTGTGATAAATATGCAGATGGAATACAGCAGAAGTCAATTAATGTTTTGATTTATTTACAGAAAACAGAACCTTTCCCAGTAACCGCCGGATGGCGTTTTTCATGTCAGCGTTCCTCAACGTATAGATCATTGGGTTCAGCATTGGGGTGACCACTGTGTAGAGCACAGAAATTGCCTTGTCCGCTGCAAACTTCTCATAAGGCCTGTCATAAATGAAGATACAGGGTCCAAAATGCAATGTCACCACTGTCATCTGGGCAGCACAAGTAGAAAGGGCCTTGTGCTTTCCTTCCATGACATGTGTCCTTATCTTGAATAAGATGATCGTGTAGGATGTAAGCAATATGAAGAAGGCCCCTGTACCAACCAGCCCATTGTTGGAGACCATCAGCATGTCTATTATATAAGTTTCTGTGCAGGCCAATTTGACAACCTGTGGGACTTCACAGTAGAAATTGTCCAAAATGTTGGGTCCACAGAAGGGCAACTGGATGATCAGTGCAATCTGGACAACAGAATGCACAAAGCCACCCAGCCATGCCCCAGCCACCATCCCCATGCACACACCTCGGCTCATGATGGTCAAATACTGTAATGGTTTATGTATAGCCACATAACGATCAATCGCCATCACTATGAGGAAGAAGACCACAGTGCCTCCTATAAAGTGGAAGAAAAACATCTGGGTCAGGCACCCACTGAATGAGATGGTTTTGTGTGGGGTTAAGAAATCCCTCAGCATCTTGGGGGCAGTCACTGAGGACTCACTGAGGTCCAGGAAAGCCAAGTTAGCCAGCAGGAAATACATAGGTATGTGGAGGTGAGGGTCAGAGATCACTGTGAGAATGATGGTGACATTGCCAAGCCAGGTTGTCACATAGACTATGAGGAAGACTAGGAAAAGTGGATGTTGCAGCTCAGGACTCTGAGAGAGGCCTACAAAGACAAATTCTTTCATTGTGCTGGTGAGGTTCTCCTGCTCCATGTAGTGGTCTGAAAGAGTATCTGCAGGGAGGAC